AATGTCAAAATTCGATGAAACCGATTGGGAGCTTGTTTTCTTTCCTTTTTCTAGGTTTCCTTTTGTATGTTCTGAATTTTGATGCCATGACTTTATCTAAAAGGGGATAAACAAAGTGGACTAGCAGCAGGCTACGAAGTAGTTTGAGATTGCACCGGGATTGTTGCAAGAGAAGGCAACATTTCTGTGGAAATCATCATCTGAGTCTTCACTGGAGATGGTGTTGCAAGATATTAGAACTCGTCAGAGAAGTGGCCGGAGAACTCGATATGGAATAGAATGTTAAGCACTTTGATGAGTAAAATACTACAATTTTGAACTAAATTTTGTATCTCAGCAAATTTGATTTTTAAGTGGCTCTCTTTGTTAAGAGCCGGATTAGGGTTCTCAATGATTCCAGTGAGATTAAAATTTAAGCAATTAATTTTATTTAAACAGAAGCTGAGTCTAATATTCTCTAATCAACTATACTTTTGCTTTCAATTACAATTCTTCTCTCACTGTAGTATTTAAATTTAAATTCAAGAACTTCAACTTAATTGCTCTTAACCATTTTTCTTGAATTTTAAGTCTCGCCGAAGAATGACTTATGATGACAATAGTTGAGTAGTTGTTACTTTCTTGTAAGGCCTATTTGGGCCTAATTCCTACTTCATCATATATATATATATATATATATTAATTTTTCGATATCTGATAATTACTTTAAGTTCGACCAATTTAGAATTGAGTCGTGTTAAACCCCATTAAGGGGAAAGTTCTACTAGCATTTGTTTTTGCACTTACAAGATTCAAAATCGAGATCTTACTTAAAAGAACTGAGTCTCTTCTACTCGAACTAATAAATCGTTGATATTTCTACTTCATCTTTTCTAGTTGGAATTAACCCACTCAGGACTGATCTCAATGATGGTTTGATTTGCTTGGATATGGGCCAAATTTTACAAGGCCCATTAGAGTCCAATTCTGATTTTGTCACATAACAACCAGGTGAACTTTAAAGGTAAAAGGTACCTGTTTGCCCTTTAACTTTTTGAATTTGAGGCATTTTTCCTCTCATATTACAATATATGATTTTTTACCCTTCATGTTTCTAAATATATAATTTTTTATTCTTCATGTTTTTGAGTTTAGGAAAATAAAGTAAAATTTAACGATAGAAAAGTTACGTGCGGCACCTCCATCGTTAATTCCGTCATCTATTGACGTGTTCATGCCAATTTAGATTTTTTTACACGCTGGCAAATCCAGCTTGCACTGAGCTAAAATTCTACCCCAACAACTTAGTTTTTTTTTTTTTTTTTTTCGTTCGTCACTTTCCTCTTCCCTTCTTCAACCATTT